AACAACTACTACTACTACTACTACTACTAATAATAATAATAATAATAACCCTTGAGCCATGGATATAGCTCAGAGCATTTCCCCAGCATTTGTGAAGGCTCCTTGGATTCAATTCCCAGCACTGCCAAGCAAAACCCTGTATGTGTATCGCACAATTTTAGGATTGTGTGCATGTTCCCTAGACAGTAAATTGCTAAGTGTACATACAACCAAAGGAAACTTCTCAGGAGATTTAAAAATGAACTTCCCTGTGGGACCTTCCATACTCTCCTCCCAGGTCTGTGGTCCTCTGCCTCTCTTTGCGGCAGGCCACCCAGAGGCTGACATGAGATTTTGGGGTTTTCTGGTCTCTTCCAATACTGCTGCTATCCCAGCGGGTGGTGGGGGGTGACTGACCAGACCCTGCCAAGGGTCAACCTCAAAGTAAACAGAGCCATTCAGCCCTGCCCTGACTACTTAAGTACCCTAGTGTTGGCCCAACCCCACCCACGAATTCCCAGTGGGCTCCAGCCTAACCACCTCAAAACTCCAAATCCAGACCCATATTTTCAAGCTTGCTCCGTCCACTCAGATAGTCCACTACTAGAGGGAAGAAACACTGCTCTTTCTCTAAGAGTTCTCAGATTGATGACGGAGACACAAAGCCTTTAGCATGTCCTATCCCCTTGCACTGCACAACGGCAGGAGAAAATAGTCAACTTCTTATAAAAGACATGCATACACATAAGCAAATATGCCCCTAAAGAACTGAGCGTCAATAAAAAAGTATCAGAGAAGGCTCCCTGGAGAGAAGTTTGAATCAGCCTTGGAAGAACACGGTGCACTTGTGGAAATGACAGGAAAGAAGGCCCTGAAAAAGAGCAGAGGCGACCACTGCAAACGTGTTTTGAGCACTTGTTTTCCAGGCCGCCGCTGAGCACCTGATCTGTGATTTTTTCCCTTTGAGAAGGGAGTACTCTCATTAGCCCCATTTTAGATGAATAAATGAAGGCAGAGCCAGATTGAGTGACTGGCCCAAGTTCATTTGTTCAGTACTCAGCCATGCCCCTACAGGTGGGGGTAGGTTTGGGGGTAAAGTCCAGAAGTAGTTTGGGCCCCTGCAGAGCAAAGGAAGGGAGGAGAATAAGAATGGTAGTCAGCAGGAGGGGGTGGCACAGGTCTTCAGCTCTAGTACTCTCAGGAGGCAGAGGCAGGTGGATCTCTGTGAGATCAAGTGAGACCAGCCTAGTCTACATAACAGGTCCAAGGCCAGGTGGAGTTGTATAGTGAGACCCTGCCAAAAACAGTATGGGCTGGAGAGATGGCTTAGAGGTTAAGAGCAGTGGCTGCTCTTGCAGAGGACCCGGGTTTGATTCCCAGCACCCACATAGCAGCTAACAACTGTCCTTAACTCCGGTTCCAGGGGATCCAACACCCTCCTCTGACCTCCATGGCACTGCACCACACTGGTACACTCACATACATGCAGACAATACATGCATACACATAAAATGAAAATAAAATAATAACAACAACAAAAAGAGTGATGCCTGGTAGCCTCCCTCTCCCCCATCACCCCAGTCCCTTGGAATTAAGTAGCGGTTCCTGGCCTCCCAGGATTGGCATCTAGCACGCACCTGGAATTCCTTCTTGTATGCAAGTCCCACCAGGCCCATCTGTCCCAGATTCCTACCTACTTCCTCCTTCAGTGGTCCCCGAAAATCCTGCAGAACACTCTAAGATAGGCTGTAGGAGTGGGGAGGGCTGGCAGAGAAAAAGCTTGTGCCCAGAAGAGAAAGGAAGGCCAGAGCAAGGTGACCCCGTGCTGGAGGGTGGGAGGTTTGTCCTGAGTGCTTCCATATCTCATTTAGCCCCATGTTCCTTTTACAGTGGTGTGGGGTTGGGGACTGAGGCTCAGGTGTGTGACATAAAAGTCACTTGGGAGGCTGGAGAGATGGCTTTGCAGTTAAGAGCACTGGTTGCTCTTGCAGAGGACCTGGGTTTGAATCCCAGCACCCACATGGCTAACAGCTGTCTATAACTCCAGTTACAGGGGATCTGGCTCCTTCTCACCTCCATGGGTATTGCACGACACAGGTGCACAGGCAATACGTACAGGCAATGCACTCACACATAAAATTAAAATAAATAAATAAAAGTCATTTGGGGGGCTAGAAAAATGGCTCAGTGGTTAAGAACACTGGCTGTTCTTGCAGAGGACCTGGGATTGATTTCCAGCACCCATATGGCGGCTAACAACGATCCATAACTCCAGTTCGAGGAGATCCAAAGCCCTCTTCTGACCTCCGTGGACGTTGCACAACACAGGTGCAACTTACGTACAGGCAAGCAATATATTCATACACATAAAATAATTTTTTTTGGTCTTTTTGAGACAGGGTCTCCCTGTAGCCCCAGTTGGCCTGGAACTCACTATGTAGACCAGGCTGGCTTCGAACTCACAAAGATCCACCTACTTCTGCCTCCCAAGCATTGGGATTAAAGGCATGGGGCACCATGCCCGGCTATAAAATATTTTTTTTAATTAAGAAAAGAGAGAGGGACTCCAATGCACAGGACCACTTCACTTATGACTTCAGCACAGTCAGAAGACTGCTGGGCTGTGGGCTCTAGAGTCCGTGTGTCACTCTGCAGTTTTCCTTGATTGTCAGAAAGCAGTCATGCTGCCTTCTCCCTCCTGGGGCACAGAGGCTCCATGGTGGGTGGGCCTACTTCTGAAGATGGCTCTGCAGCTGTGCCCCCAACCCTGTAGTTCAGCCTGCAGAGCCATAAGAACTGCAAGCTCCATCTGGAGATGAAGCCATGGGAATTTAGTACCCAGCTCCAGCCCTGTTTTCTGGGACTCAGCTTTAAAATCTTCCCTGAAGTTTAGTCCTATCCTGACTCTGTCTCTTCTAAAACCCAAAAGCAGAACTGTGGAATCAAAATTATTACTATTATTATTGTTGTTGTTATTACTATTTGAGCAGGGGCTCATGTATCCCAAGCTGGCCTGAAACTTGCTGTGTTCAATGACCTTGAGCTTCTGATCCTCCTGCCTCCACCTCCTCAGTGCTAGGACTATAGGTTTATGTCACCTTGCCTGATTTTATGCAGTGCAGGGGACTGAACTCAGGGCTCCAAGCATGTTAGACAAACTCTAGCAACTGAGCTACATCCCCAGGCCCCGTGACTTTTTTAAAATGTAAAGACTTTATTATTATTTGTGTGTGTGTGTGTGTGTAATGCTTCCATGTATGTAAGTGCACCCATGTCATGCAATCCCCACAGAGGACAGAAGAGGGCGTCAAATTCACCAGGAACTGGAATTACAGATGGTTGTTGGCTGCCATGTGCTATGAATCAAACCCAGGGGCTCTGCAAAAGCAGCCAGTGCTTTTAATGGCCGAGCCAATTCTTCAGCCCCGAAAGTCCTCCTCTTTTATCAATGCACAGTGAATAGAATAGAACTGAAAACATTGAGGAACTGCTTGAGGAGAGGGAACCAGGGAACAAGGACCAAAATAATGCCAAAGCCCCATTCCTTTGGCTTTTCCAATCACCTAGTCTATGAGCTATTCTCATTGCTGACTTTCTGCCACAGCACACTTCTTTACTGATTCTCCCTTTGAGTTGTTGTTGATGATGGTGGTGATGGTGATGGTGATGATGGTTCTTTGGTGTTTTTGACAGAGTCTCCCTGTAGCCCCAGATAGCCTGGAACTCAATATGTGGACCAGGCTGGCCTTGAACTCACAGAGATCTGCCTGCCTGTGCTGGGATCAAAGGTGTGCACCACCACGCCTGGCTCTCCCTTTGATTTTGCCAGCAGGGTGGTTATTGGACATGTAGGGTTATTTAACAATAATTTTTTAGAAGAAAAAAATTAAATTCACATATCTGCTTTCTGAGAGCCTTTTTTTTTTTTTTTTTCCCAATCCCAGGACCCCATGCATGCTAGGCAAACACTCTTCTACTGCATTATATCCCCGGACTCCACAGCCTACTATTCTAACGTCCCACACTAATCTCGGGCAATTCGCAAACTCTGAGGTGCTATTATTATTCCAATTTCTTAGCACAGGAAACTGAAGAAGTTTCCTCCATCAAGACTACAAAACTAACACACTGAGAAACAGGATTTGGAATTCCAACAAAGCAGCAGCCAATAGAAGTGGTTCAGATAGAATTAGCAGTCATTCAAATTGTGCAGCTACTTTTACCTAGCATCTTGTAAGAGTAATCATATTTTTGTGTCATTTTGACAAGTAGAATGAAAAGGAAAATATAAATCCACTCAAAATCTATAGGCCAAGCTGGGTGGGGTGGTACATGTCTGTCATCCCAGCACTAGGGAGGCAGAGGCAGGCAGATCTGTCAGTTCCAGGCTAGCCTGGTCTACATAGAGAGTTCCAGGCCAGCCAGAGGGACATACATAGTGTAACCCTGTCTCTGCATAGCCTCTTTACACTCTTCCATTATGTGGAAACTAAAGACCACAAGGATTTTGTTTTTCAAATATAAGTTGGAGGAAGGGCAGACACAGCACCTGCTCCCTTAACCAGTGTCCCCACCCGGTTCAGAAAGCTAGCGCTGTTTCCTCATGGAAATAACCGAGGAACTCCCATTCCTCTCGCTAACCACTTCAGGCCGGAGAACGAGTTCAAATTTCAAAGAATCTAAGAAGGAATAAACAACTTTTTCTTCATGTTTTTACTGAGGAGAACTCAGACCACTCCTTGGCACTTCCATAGCTCCGCCTCTTTTCAGAGTATGCCTCACAGAGCAAATGAACCCTTCTCATTGGTCAGATTTCCTGTCAGTCTCTCGGAGACCACTACCAATGGTCCGTTTTGAAAACGCTACCGCCTCCCTTACCTCATTGGCTCATTCGAAAAAGCCGGCCTACTCAAATATAAAAGACCATCTACGATTGGTTGCTCTAGACGGACTCTGTGAGAGCGAGCCTGTAATTGGCTCCTCCGATTTGGGCGGGCTAGGGGAAGGTTCAAATGAAACCTGAGACGCGCTCCTAACTGACGCGCGTCTGTTGAGGAGCGTCCTGGTCCCGGGTCTTTTCGTGGGTCCCACCGGTTTAGTCACTTTCGGGATTCTCGAGCCTCCTCACGACTGTCACCATGGAGGTGTCACCGCTGCAGGTATAGCTTGCGGAAGGGGCGGGATAGCGGAGCCTCTAGGCGTCTTGGCATCCCTGGCTGGAGGCGAGGACTGAGGCGGTACGGCTGGGCCGGGCCTGACAGGTCCCGGCTGCCGCGTCGACCCCTATCTCCTCGGCCTTAGGGATGGTCCTCAGGGTGAGGTCCCTCCGAGGCCGGCAATGGAATGCCGGCAGGATCCGGCTCTCGGGGTTGGGCTGTTACTGTTTATCGTCGCGTCCCGGGCTCGCTCTGTATTGTAATGCCCTCGAGGAGCTTGTTTTTATTTCTATTGCCACCGGGTCGCCCTATCGCCCCAGCAGGCCCGGGACTTGCTGTGTAGACCAGGCTGGCCTCGATCTCACCCTTGTGTGACTTTTAAATGGCGTGTGTGTGGATCCCACCGGCCTCTGTCCTCCCCCGCCTTGGTTGAAAGGGGTCGGGACGTCCCCCACCCGGAGGGTGCAGGGCGCGGCAGAGGCGCAAAGCATGGCCTTCCGGTGTTCAGAGAGTGAACGTGGCATGGGTTCGCGGGGGCTAGCCTCGTCTACACCAGGTGCCTGACTTCGCACTTAGTAGATGGTTGTGCATCCCATGAAAGAAGTTGAGTGTATTTTATCGATGACGTAAGAAATACTGTTCAAGACAGAAGTTTCCATAGTAGATACTTCATGACTATTTAAGTATCCACCTGGAGCCGGGCTTGGTGGGACCCGCCTGAATTTGCTGCTCTGGCGACTGAGGGAGGAGGATCCTCTTGAGTTCAAGGCCAGCCTGGGCTACTTAGGGAGCCACTGTCTCAAAAACAGCAATCAAAATCAGGTCTGGGGAAAAAAAAAAAATAGGTAGAGCTCTTGCCTAGCATGGGCAAGGCCCTGAGTTCCATCCCTAGCACCACCCACACAAAATCAGACACCTTAGCAAATGCCTTCAAGGAATTTTAATTGTAGTATGTGTTCCGAAACTATGTAAACTCTACCAGTACAACAGATTGTGAATTATAATGTAATATGTTGAGTTTATCATTAGTGTAGATACTTTGTTCATTATTTCTAATAAACTGTTTTCTTCTCTTTTTTCCCAATGACTAGCCTGTACATGAAAATATGCAAATGAACAAAAAGAAAAATGAAGACCCAAAGAAAAGACTGTCTATCGAAAGAATCTACCAGAAAAAAACACAATTGGAACATATTTTGCTCCGTCCAGATACCTACATTGGCTCTGTGGAATTAGTAACCCAGGTAAAACCAAGCTAGTTAAATGCAGCCACTTAGTTGTTAGAAAGATTAATTTTTCGTGCTTTGTGTACTGAATATTAATGGAATTGGCCTATCATTCGTACACGTACAGAAATATATATGTACATATTTCGGCATTTAGTTAAGAACCTTACAATAATGATGATAAAACAAAAGTAGAATAAAAATAACTTTATTTGCTTTATTCTAGCAAATGTGGGTTTATGATGAAGATGTTGGCATTAACTATAGGGAAGTCACTTTTGTTCCTGGTTTGTACAAAATCTTTGATGAGATACTAGGTGAGTACATTATTTTATATAAAGATTACTGGTAAAGTTTTTGAGAAGTAATCATACCAACCTTCTGTAGACATAGCTCCTGTCATTTTAAGGAATTAGTTGTCAAAATTTAGGCAGGCAGGGCATAGTGGAGTGGGGCACACCTTCATTCCTATCCAGCAGCTCAGAGGCAGAGGCAGGTGGATCTTTGTAGTTCTAGGCCAGCCAGGACTACATAGTGAGACAGACAGACAGACAGACACACACGCACACACACACACACACACACACACACACAAAAAGCCTGGCATGGTGGCGCACCCCTTTAATCCCAGCACTCAGAAGACTGAGGCAGGTGGATCTCTCAGAGATCAAGGCCAGCCTGGCCTACATAGCAAGTTTCAGGCCAGCTAGGACTACAATAGTGAGACCCTGTTGCAAAAAAAAAAAAAGTTCAAGGTCATTCTTGGCTATATACCAAGTTCATGGTCAGCCTGAGATAAATGAGACCCTGTGTCAGAAAAAATTGCTATAAACTAACACTTTGTTGATAGTATTCCTTTATTACTTTTGAATTTCTTTTTAGACATCATAGAATTAAAGTGTTTTAAAGCACTTTTATTATAAACATCTACCTTTTTTTTTTCTTTCAGTTAATGCTGCAGACAACAAACAAAGGGACCCAAAAATGTCTTGTATTAGAGTCACAATTGACCCGTAAGTAGTAGCTTTTTATAGTTCGTTGCTATTGTTAGTGTTTGCTTTGATTACTAGAGAAGATGGCTCTCTTAAAATTGAAGTTTGCAGAAGTATAGAAAGATGGAATGCTTAAAATGAACATCTTCTAGATACCCATTGAGTAGATCTTACAGTTGTCAACAGTTTTCTAGCTGGGCTTGGTGGTAATCCCAGCTACTTGGGAGGCTGAGTCAAGAAGATGACAAGTTCAAACCTGAATAATGTATTGAGAACATGTTCTTCCCTTTCCTCCAAAATATTAATTTGAAAAGGGTCTGAGAGTATAGCTCTGTGATAGTATATGTGAGGCCATAGGTTTGAGCCCTAGCACTGAAGAAAATAAATTTAAAACAAAGTTTTTGCCATATTTGTAGTGGCACAGCATTCAGGCAGACTGATGACTGAGTTGGAGGCCAGTCTAGTATACATAGTGAATTCTAAACCAGCCAGAGTTACATGGTGAAACTGTCTCAAACAACAACAAAAAACTTTTCCATATTTGCTTCATTTATATTTTTTTCTGGACCATCACAGTAATTTATAGATAATGACAAATTCAGCAAGTGTTTACAAAAAAGTCTAAAGGTGTTTTGGGTTTTTTTTTTTTTTTTTTTCTGATAAGGTTATTCAAACAGCGAACCAGCAGGTGGTGGTAGAGAATAACTTGGTTTTACATTTCTGGTTTTAAACACTGGTGTTCCTTGGTGGTCAGGGTGCTTGTTTCATCATTTATTAGCCTTATCAGTTCTGACATAAACTATGCTTAAGGCTCTTTTGGGAAGTATAATAATAATGACTGACATACTTGAATCTCCTAAGGACTTGACATAGTCATTTAAAGAATACTGACTTAGTTTTAATTGGTCTCTTTTACAGACAACATTAAACCAATGTTACTATTTTTGTGTCCCATTACAACAAAATATATTGTCTTCTGAGAATTAACCTAAAATAACAGTTAAAAGTCTGAGTAACTGGGCTGGAGAGGTGATTTGGTTAAGAGTGCTTACAGCTCTTGCAGAAGACCCAAGTTCAGTTCCCAAGCACCCAGGGGTAGGGGATCTGATACCTCTGGGCTCCAAGGGCACCTGCACTTACATGCACATAATTAAAAATAGAAAAGTTTTTTTTATATTTTATTTATTATTTTTATTTTATATGTGTGAGTGTATTGCTTACATGAAGGTAGGTGCACCGTGTCATGCAATGCCTGCCAAGGTCAGAAGAGGCCATTGGATCCCCTGGAACTGGAGTTGTGGATGGTTGTTAGCTGCCATGTGGGTGCTGGGAATCCAACCTGAGTCCTCTGCAAGAGCAATCAGTGTTCTTAACTGCTGAACCATCTTCAGCCCCCGAAAATAAATCTTTAAGATACATTTATAAATGTCTGAGTAGCTGTTTAACATTTTATATGCAATGTGCTTTGTTGGGTTGAGAAAACTAAAATGGATGCATGCATGCATGCATGGATGGATGGATGGATGGATGGATGGATGGATGGATGGAAATTTTATATTTTTTTAACATCAGTATCTACCTGGGTGTTGGGAAATGTTTCTCTTCCTACCACTGGTTCCTATTTCAGGAGTGTTAGGAACCAAGCATGGTGGAAAAGGTTGCTCATGCTAAGTTTCAGAAGATACATATATAAAATGATGAAATTGAGACTTGTGAATTTATATATTTTATTTTTAAATGTTAAGTATTTAACATTTGTTAAACAATAACATTTTTTATCTTTTCTTAGAGAGAACAATTTAATTAGTATATGGAATAATGGAAAAGGAATTCCTGTTGTTGAACACAAAGTTGAGAAAATGTATGTCCCAGCTCTCATATTTGGACAGCTCTTAACTTCTAGTAACTATGATGATGATGAAAAGAAAGTAACAGGTAGAGTACTGACAGAAAATAAAGAGCATTTATTGCTGAAAAAAATCTTTTAAATAACTGTGGTATGAGGGTTAAAAATATGCTAATAAGACCTGGAGAGATGGCTCAGCAGTTAAGAACACTGATGCTCTTGCAGAAGACCCGGGTTCAAATCCTAGCACCCACACAGCAGCTAACAACTGTCCGTAACTCCAGTTCCAGGGGATCCGACAGCCTCTTTTGTCCTCCACAGGCATTGCACAACATGGATGCACTTACCTACATGCAGGCAATACACACATACACATAAAATAAAAATTAAAATAAAATAAAAATATATGGTAATAAGCTGGGTATGGTAGCACATGCCTATAATCCCAGCACTTAGGAGGCAGAGGCAAGGAGGATTGCCCATGAGATTGAGGACAGTCTAGGCTACACAGTGAATTCCAGACTAGCCAAGGGCTATATGTTGAGACCCTGTCTCAAAACAAAAAAGAGAAAATGGGGGAACAAATATATATATATGTATATATATATATGCTTCTATAATTGAATAGCTTTGCCAGTGATTAAGAAATAAAGCTGTGCCAGGCATGGCAGCACACACCTTTAATCCCAGCACAGAGGCAGGTAGATCTCTGTGAGTTCAAGACCAACCTGGTCTACAGAGCAAGTTCCAGGTCAGCCGAGGCTACAGGGGGACCCTGTCTCAATCTAAGACCAAACAAAAAGAGGAGGAGGAGGAGAAAAGAAATAAATCTGAGTAAGGATTAGTGGTATAAATCAGTGGTGGATTGCTTGCCTAGCATGGGCAAGACAAGTTCCATTCCAGCACCACAGAAAGCAAATAAGAACTGGTTAGTGGAAAAATAGTAAAATAGCATTGCATATTTATTTGCCCAGGTGGTCGAAATGGCTATGGAGCCAAATTGTGCAACATATTCAGTACCAAATTTACTGTGGAAACAGCCAGTAAAGAATACAAGAAAATGTTCAAACAGGTAAGTAAATAGGTATCTTAATGGCATGATTATAAACTGTAGTAGTCATTTATGATGGCTTGAATGGGTGGTTTAATTTAACATAATTTATAAGCTATTAAATTATGGGAAATTGCTCATAACATTATTTCCTACTTTAAACATTTGTATTATTTCTGGTTTGTGAAATGACTTTTTCATCTTTCCTATTTTTACTGTCATAGACATGGATGGATAACATGGGGAGAGCTGGTGACATGGAACTCAAGCCCTTTAGTGGAGAAGATTACACATGTATCACCTTCCAGCCTGACCTATCTAAGTTTAAAATGCAAAGCCTGGACAAAGACATCGTTGCACTGATGGTTAGAAGAGCCTATGACATTGCTGGGTCCACTAAAGATGTCAAAGTCTTTCTCAATGGAAATAAGCTGCCAGTGAGTATTTTTCTGGTATTAAGGATACAAGAGTTTGTGATCATTGTTGGGTGCACAGTTGATTTTTTTTCCATAACATTTTTTTTCTTACCACTTCTCAGATACATTCCTGAAAAGAGTGTGGGTAATAGTACAGTATTGTTTTGTTTTGTTTTTTTTAAATCAGTTCATTTTGAATTTAATGAAGGAACTTCTTTCTCAAAGAAACACTTAATGGGACTAGAAAGATGGCTTAGTGATTAAGAGCACTGGCTGCTGTTGCAGAAGACCTGTCCTTTACTCTAGTTCCAGGGGATTTGATGCCTTCTTGTGGCATCCATAGACATTGCACACACTGGTATGCTTACATATATGCAACAAAACGCTCATACACATAAAATAAAAATAAATTTTAAGGGCTGGGTGTGGTGGTGCATACCTTTAATCCCAGTACTTGGGAGGCAGAGGCAGGCAGATCTCTGTGAGTTCAAGGCCAACCTTGTTTACATAGTGAGTTCCAGGACAGCTGGGGCTACAGGGAGACCCTGTCTCAAAAAGACCCCCCCCCAAAAAATAATAAAAATAAATTTTAAAAATTAAAAAAAGATGAGGCTGGAGAGATAAGATAGCTCACATGACTGTTCTTGCAGAGGACCTGGGTTTGATTCCCAACAGCCACATAGTGGCTAACAGTTGTCTATAACTCCAGTTCCAGGGGATCTGACACCTTCATCTGATCTCCATGGACATTGTATGACACAGGTGCACTTACACACATGCAGGCAATAAACTCATGCACATAAAAATAATAAAATAAAAAGAAACACAAGTATTTTTGTTCTCTTCTTTAAATAACCATCCTCTTAGCCTATAAGTGAATATCATTTAGTTAGTTTTTCAAGGCCCCCATAGTCTGTGGACTGTGGAGATGGCTCCATGGATACATGAGGACCTGAGTTTACTCTCTAGAACCTACATAAAACCCAGGCATGGGGGCTGGAGAAATGGCTCCATGGTTAAGAACACTGACTGTTCTTGCAGAGGACCCAGGTTCGAATCCCAGCACCCACATGGCAGCTAACAACTACCCATAACTCCAGTTCCAGGGGATCTGACAGTCTCTTCTGTCCTCCGTGGACATTGCATGACACAGGTACACTTAACTACATGCAGGCAACATACACATACACATAAAATTAAAAAAAAAAAAAAAACAGGCATGGTGACATGTGTCTGTAACTCCAATGCCAGGGGACAGAAATGGGTGGATCCTAAAGGCTCACTGGCCAAATGGTGAGCTCAGGAAAAAAATAAGGTGGAGAAGTGATTGGAAAAGACATGTGGATGTTAACATGGCTCTCCACAGACACATCCATGTAACTGATCATGTGTGCATATAAGTGTGTATGTACATACCGCAGCACACATGTGGAGGTTATAGGACAGCTTGCAGGAATCCATTCTCTCCCACCATGTGGGTTCCAGGGATTGAACTCAGGTGATTAGGCTTGGTAACAACAGCTTTTACCCACTGAGCTATCTTGCTGGCCTACACCCACAGAAACTTTTTTCTTTGGTCTTTTTGAGACAGGGTCTCCCTGTAGCCCCACCTGTCCTGGAATGTACTATGTAGACCAAGGTGGCCTTGAACTCACAGAGATCTGCCTGCCTCTGGCTCCCCAGTGCTGGGATTAAAGGCATGCACCACCATGCCCACCTAGGAACTTTTTTTTTTTTAAAAAAATTTTAGGGGCTGGAGAGATGGCTCAGCAGTTAAGAGCCTAGCTGCTCTTGCAAGAGAACCCAGGTTCAGTTTCCAGCACCCACATGGTAGCTGGCAACCATCTGTAATTCCAGTTCCAGGGGATCTGATGCCCTCTTCTGACCTCCATGGGCATTGCACAGCACAAGTGTACTTACATACATATAGGCAATACACTTGTACACATAAAATAAAAATAATAAATAAGCCAGACATAGTGGCACACGCCTTTAATCCCAGAAATCAAAAAGTCAGAAGCAGGCAAATCTCTGAGTGAGTTCCAGGCCAGCTGGGGATACAGGGAAACCCTGTCTCCAAAAAGATTTAAAAAACACCAACAAGATGGCTCAGAGATAAAGGTGCTTGCCACTTAAGTCTGATGACATGAGTTTGATCCTTCAGAACCCATGGTGAAAGAAGTGAACTGACTCTTGAAAGTTGTGCTCTAATCTCCACATGCACACCATAGTGTGTGCATTCCCTACCCCATACACATATACACACACTAAGTAAAATAAAGCTTAAAAATTAAAAGAATTTTGGATCTTTATACTCTTTCATTCCATTTACCATTGGTTTAATCCTATTTTCTTTAATTCCTATACAGGTAAAAGGGTTCCGTAGTTATGTGGATATGTATTTGAAGGATAAGTTGGATGAAACTGGGAACCCACTGAAAGTAGTCCATGAACAAGTAAACCCAAGGTGGGAAGTGTGCTTAACAATGAGTGAAAAAGGCTTTCAGCAGATTAGTTTCGTCAATAGCATTGCTACTTCCAAGGTAATTTTGTGGGTTTTTTTTTCTTGAAAACTTAATCTGCTTTGAAGAAGCTAAATTGTTTAAAATGGCATTTTTTTCTTATTAGGGTGGCAGACATGTTGATTATGTAGCTGATCAGATTGTGAGTAAACTTGTTGATGTAGTGAAGAAGAAGAACAAGGCTGGTGTTGCAGTAAAAGCACATCAGGTATGGTATCAGGAGCTTCCTTTCTCTAAAATCAAAAAGAAAGGGTGGGCGTGGTGGTACATGCCTTTAAGCCTAGTACTCAGGAGGCAGAGGCAGGTGGAGCTCTAGATTGAGGCCAGCTGGGGCTTCAAGGAAACCCTGTGTCAAGAAGACCAAAAAAGAAGAAAGGCTCTGGAAATGTATAGAATACTTACTTAGCTTATACAAGGTTCCAGATTCAATCCCCAATATCAACCAAAAGGGGGCATGGGCACAAGCATCAAGAAGACGTTTTACTGACTATATCAACTTTTATTGCAGGTGAAAAATCACATGTGGATTTTTGTAAATGCCTTAATTGAAAACCCAACCTTTGACTCTCAGACAAAAGAAAACATGACTTTACAAGCCAAGAGCTTTGGATCGACATGTCAATTAAGTGAAAAATTCATCAAAGCTGTGAGTATTTAAATGGAAATAAAAATAGAAGTGACTTTTATTTTTCATTGTCCTCAGCTCTGCAGAAATAAAGATTTCCTCCCACATTGTACTTCCAAACCTTCCCAATCTGTGTTTTGTTGTTTTTGCAACAGGGTCTAATTTGTAGCCCAGGCTGGTCTCTAGCTTAAGATCCTCCTGGCTTATATTCCATAAATGCCAGAATTACAGATATGTACCACCATACCTGACCCTAAGTCTGAAAGATTCGCTTGTCTTACCCAGGGATCTTCTTAGCATCACTTTGTATTCCGTGAATAAATGTAAATTAAACTAGTTAATCCCATACTCACCCTAATACAAGGAACTCCTACACTCCAACAAGCAAAACTATTATCCATCTTAGCTTAAAAGACCCCCATCCTGGCATGGTGGCACATGCCTTTACTCCCAGCACTCAGGAAGCAGAGGCAGGCAGATCTCTATATGATCCAGGCCAGCTTTGTCTACATAGCAAGTTCCAGGCCAGCTGGGGATACAAGGAGACCCTGTCTCAAAAAAAACTAAGCCAGGCGTGGTGGTGCACACCTTTAATCCCAGCACTTGGGAGGCAGAGGCAGGTGGATCTTTGTGAGTTCGAGGCCAGCCTGGTCTACATAGTGAGTTCCAGGACAGCTGGGACTATAATAAGGAGACCCTGTCTCAAAAAGACAAAAAAAAAAAAACCCAAAACCTAAATGAATAAAAGTCCTAACAGATCCCTAGATTATATAAATAATAAAGTGAAAGCTTCTTTATTACCTCTTTGTAACCAATAAGGCTTTCTTGTGTCCCTCATCAGCCTCCCCCTACTATCTCTTTAGATTACTGTAACAGGTAACCTTCCTACTGCTTCTGGTCTTTTTTTTTTCTCACAATGTTCTTGGGTGACATTTTTGTTTTCACTCTTAAAATCCTTTAACGTCATCCACTCAGGAAAAGTTCAAATTCCCTTCCCTCTTCAGCTAAAATGGTTCCAACAGAACATTGAACTTACATTTTTATTATTTAGCAAACTTTCACACCTTGTGTGGCCTTGGCTGGCCTGGAACTCTCTATATAAAGCAGGTTGGCCTCAAACTCCAGAGATCCATTGACCTTTGCCTCAGTGCTGGGATTAAAGGTGTGCACTTAACAGACTTTTTAAATTTTATTTATGCATATGTGTATATATGCGTATGTATGTGGTACCTGTAGAGGCTAGAAGAGGATGTTGGATCCCCTGGAGCTGGAGTTGCAGGTGGTTGTGAGCACCACATAGATGCTGAGAACTGAACTCAGATCCTGTCTTCCATGTTAAACCTTCAACTAAATGAGGACATAGACATGACTCATTTTTTCCCCCATTTTCAGATGTGGGTGTAGGTGTGGTGTGGTATGGTGTGCACATGGGAAGTGGTGTGTGCATGTGTACGTGAGGTTGATGTCAGAATCATCCTGGATCACTTTTCCACCTCATTTTATGAGGCAAGGTCTCCCTAACCCAGAACTGGCTGATACTGCTCATTTTGCTGAGTACAACAGTATAGCTAGTCCTACTAGCCAGCTGGCTTTGAGGACCCCATCTCTACCTTCCAAGGCTGGAAACAGAGGTAGGCCACCTTGCCTCCGTGAAATTTTACATGGGTTCCGAGCACAACCACTGAGCCATCTCCCCAGCCCTAATTTGTTTTAACCACTGTAACTCCAACAAGTAACTTAGTGCCTAGTACAATGTAAGTACATAAAAAATAATGACTGAGCCGGGCGTAGTGGCGCATGCCTTTAGTCCCAGCACTTGGGAGGCAGAGGCAGGCAGATCTCTGTGAGCTCAAGGCCAGTCTGGTCTACATAGTGAGTTCCAGGGCAGCTGGGGCTACTGGGAGACCCTGTCTCAAAAAAGACTGGAAAAAATAAGTAAATAATGAATGAACCAAAAGGAACCACCTTTCCCCTCACTGGTAATCACCTATTTTCCTAGTGGTTTATATAGTCTATATTTAACCAAATTTTTCCTAATATGAATCTTTCTGTTTTCAAGGCAATTGGCTGTGGTATTGTAGAAAGTATACTAAACTGGGTGAAGTTTAAGGCCCAAGTCCAGCTAAACAAGAAGTGTTCAGCTGTAAAACATAACAAAATCAAGGGAATTCCCAAACTCGATGATGCCAATGATGCAGGTACACATTTAATGTTTTATTCAATAATGACATACCATGGATATTTTTCCCTTAAAAAAAAAATAAAATCAACCAGTTCCTTATTATTGAAGATTTAATCTGTTCCCTAAGAAGTATTTCTAATGTAACATAAGTAAATGTTCAGCAGCAGTATAAATACTATGAGACATCAATCAAAAAAGCTTAAGATGTAATAGTTCTCTGTTATTTGCAGGGATATATTCCAGGACCCTTTGTGGAAAATGCAAAGCCTTATTTTACTGTTTTTCTTTCTATAAATTCTTAAAATAGAAGCATAGTAAGAACTAATAAGAACAATTAGAGCAATGTGTACTATGCGAACTATGTCTTATTGCACTGTACTCACCTTTATGATGGAAATTCTAGTAATGCAACTCAGTGGTGTGAGTTGCCAGGCATGGTGGTACACACCTTTAATCCCAGCACTTGAGAGGCAGAGGCAGGCGGATATCTGTGAGTTAGAAGCCAGCCTGGTCTACATAGTGATTTCCAGGACAACTAGAGTTACAGAGAGACCCTGTCTCAAAAAGGCCAAATAAAAAGGGGGGGTGGGGGAAGGGTAAGTAATGTAGGCATCATGATGTAGCATTTGGCTGTTCCATAAGGATTATTTAAATGCAAGTATAGTGGTGCCAAGACAGTAGATGCTAAATGACTACCAGATGACTACTATATGTGGGCACATTGAGCAGAGTAATGATTAGATGTCCAGGTAGATTGTGTGAGGTTTTGAAACATCAGACCACTTACAACAGTACACAGTTTAAAAACTTCTGAGTTAGCTCGATGTGGCTGCACATGCCTTTAATCCCAGTACTCAGGAGGCAGAGGTAGGCAGATCTCTGAAATCAAGGCCAGCCTGGTCTATCTACATAGTGAGTTCCAGGCCAGCCAGGACTACATAGTGAGACCCTGTCTTTTTATATATATATATATGAAAAATTTTTTCTAATTTTTTTTTTTTTAATTTTATATGTATGTGTGTATTGCCTGCATGTAGGTAAGTACACCTGTGTCGTGCAATGCCCGCAGAGGTCAGAAGAGGCTGTAGGATCCCCTGGGACTGGAGTTACAGACAGTTGTTAGCTGCCATGTAGGTGCTTGGATTCGAACCTGAGTCTTCTGCAAGAACAACCAGTGTTCTTAACCACTGAACCATCTCTCCAGCCCCCTATAATTTATTATTTTTATTTTATGTGTATGATTATATTGCCTATGTGTATGTAAGTGTACTGTCTGCAGAGATCAGAAGGTGTTGTATCCCCTGGAACTGGAATTAGGGATGGTCTTAGCCGCCATGTGGGTGGTGGAATTTGAACCCAGGTTCTCTGCAAGAGCAGCCAGTACCCTTAACTGCAAAGCCATCTCTCCAGTCCCTGTTTCTTGAATTTTTAAGAAATTATATTTATTTCTTTATTTAATTTATGGGGCATGTATGTGTTCTCGTGCACAAGTATGTTGCAGAGTATGTATAAGTCAAAGGACAACTTGCTGAAGCTGGTTCTCTTCTACCATGTGGGTCCCAGAAATTGAACTCAGGTTGTCAGGCTTAGTGGCAAGGGTCTTCACCCACTGAGCCATCGCACTGGCCTTATTGTAGTTGTTTTGAGATAGACTCTTAAAATGTAACTCAGGCTGGCCTTGAACTTGTGATCCTCTTATCTCATCCTCTGAAGTTCTGGGATTACAGGCATGAGCCACCATACTTGGGTTTGGATTTCCCATTTACTATTTTCAGACAATTGTTAATTGAGCATAGTGAAAAGGTAGAAAGTAAAACCATAAATAGACTACTATATTAATAGGAACCTAACTGGGAAAAAATATGTATATATATAATTATTATGTCCAAGTATTTCTCCTTTGTTACAGACATTGACAGTATGTCTGGGTCAGCATATTAGAGGTTAAGTTAAGTGTGCTGAAATTAATTTGTGTATTTTTATTTTAGGGAGCCGAAACTCCGCTGAATGTACACTTATCCTGACTGAGGGAGACTCGGCCAAAACTCTGGCAGTTTCAGGCCTTGGTGTTGTTGGAAGAGACAAATACGGTGTTTTCCCACTTAGAGGAAAAATACTCAATGTCCGAGAAGCTTCTCATAAACAGGTAGACTGTACTATTACGTTTAGAATCTGAATCTAGGGCCAAGAGGGTAGCTTAGTAGCCCAGCACTAATCTAGTATACACGAAGCCCTGTGCTTAATCCTCAGCACTGCAAAAGTGCCAAGGGAGGAAGTGGGATCTAAGTCTAGTTTATAATGCAAGACTCCCATGCTGGAATTTCATTCCCTCACTAGGCCTTAAATCCCAGCACTCGGGAGGCAGAGGCAGGCAGATCCCTGTGAGTTCAAAGCCAACCTGGTCTACAAAGTGAGTTCCAGGCCTACTGGGGCTACAGGGAGACCCTGTCTCAAAAGACAAAAAAAAAAAATCTTAGGATGCTATTATTCTAAGAAATTGAGTGTGCTAAACATGAACAAAGCTCTGGGCTCAATCCCTAGCAGCATACATACAAACTCAAAGTGAGGAAAGAGGGAGAAATAGGTACATTGTAGCATTATCTTAATAGACCTTTGTGATTTATTGAAATATAAAGTAATAATTCAAAATACCAGAATTCAAAAAAAACCCAGGCAAACATGTATGATTATATTTTCTGTCCTTTTCAAATTATTAGAAACAAAATGTTACTCATTTTTATGCGTCTGTTTCAGATCATGGAAAATGCTGAAATTAACAATATCATCAAAATTGTGGGTCTTCAGTATAAGAAAAACTATGAAGATGAAGATTCATTGAAGACTCTTCGTTATGGGAAGATAATGATTATGACAGATCAGGTCAGCTTTGTCAGATTATTAAACTAGTTTCAAATATACAGGCTCAACAGTCCTTTTCGACCTGCAGAATCGCTGGGACTGCAGGCATGTGCACGTACCTCACTAAGCCCATCTTATTGTTGCCTTGCTTGCTTGCATGTCATGAAAAAGGCATTACTAAAAGCTTTATTCATTACTTTAATCAACATCTAATCAGGTGTATTTATATCATAAATATATTACATATCGGCTAAACAACTTTACTTTCGAATAGCCTTTTTATCTTTATTTTTTTAATTTGAATAGAAGAATTTTTGAGAAATTGCCAAGTTGGTAAATTTTTTTGTTTCTAAACAATTCCTTCATGCTTTGTCTTTTCAAATATTTCTAGGACCAAGATGGTTCCCATATCAAAGGCTTGCTGATTAACTTTATCCATCACAACTGGCCCTCTCTTCTGCGACATCGTTTCCTAGAGGAATTTATCACTCCCATTGTAAAGGTATAAAATTTCCAGGATACAAAAATAGGTATCATATAAGGCCCAACTACTCTATACTGGGTATACTTATACTTCAGTGATGTGTGATGTAATGTAGGGGGGCCCATAGCGTACAAAACTGCAGCGATGTGTTCTTTACCATAGGTGTCTAAAAACAAGCAAGAAATAGCATTCTACAGTCTTCCTGAATTTGAAGAATGGAAGAGTTCTACTCCAAATCACAAAAAATGGAAAGTCAAATATTACAAAGGTTTGTGATGAAACCCACATTTTAAATTTCAGTTCTGTTATGTGTCACAAAGGTTATATTGTATGGCTGACTCATTTTGGTTTTATAGGTTTGGGCACCAGCACTTCAAAAGAAGCTAAGGAATATTTTGCAGATATGAAAAGACATCGTATTCAATTCAAATATTCTGGGCCTGAAGACGATGCTGCAATCAGCCTAGTGAGTTTGCATTATATTTTACATAGTCATTCTAATTTCAGAAAATCACTACTTAAGTTAGTTATAGCACTTAAATTTTTATTGAAGAGTGTTTTATGAACATTGGGCGTGATGGTAGACCCTTTTAATCCTAGCGCTCGAGAGGCAGAGACAGGAAGATCTCTGAGATCAAGGCCAGCCTGGTCTACATAGCGAGTTCCAGGCCAGCTGAGAGATCCTATCTCAAAAAGTGGTTTATGAAATAGTTGTTTCTAGTAAGCATATCTCAGAGAAGGAACCAGATATTTTAGAAAACGGGACTTTAAATATTTCTTTTTTTAATAGGAAAAATTCTTGGGACCTATTGATAGCAGTGACATCTTTTTCATCTTTCTAATTTGTAGGCCTTTAGTAAAAAACAGACTGATGATCGAAAGGAATGGTTAACTAATTTCATGGAAGACAGAAGACAACGGAAATTACTTGGCCTTCCTGAGGTAAGAATTTTAACTATATCCCACAAAATATGCTATCTGGTTGACTTTTTAGGATTGGCGTTATAGCAAATAAAGCTTACTAAACAGATACTTCAGTAGAAGTTTGCTATAATAGCTATAGTTATGCACCATAGAACACTCTAGTGGTCAGTGATAGACCATGTATATAGCAGTGGTCCTATGAAGTTATGAAAGAGATGAAAAAAATCTTATCTAGTAATATAATTTTAGAGTCCTAAAATTATATGGCAAGGCATTACTCATGTGTGGTAATGTTGATATAAACAGTTATTATACTATTAGTCATAAAAGTATAGCATATGCAGGGCTGGAGAGATGGCTCAGCAGTTAACAACACAGGCTGTTCTTACAGAAGACCCGCGTTCGAATCCCAGCACCCACCTGGCAGCTAACAACTGTCCGTAACTCCAGTTCCAGGGGATCTGACAGCCTCTTCTGTCCTCCAGAGGCATTGCATGATATGGGTGGACTTACCTACATGCAGGCAATACACACATACACATAAAATAAAAATAATAAATAAGGCCAGGCGTGGTAGCGCACACCTTTAATCCCAGCACTTGGGAGGCAGAGGCAGGTGGATCTCTGAGTTCAAGTCCAGCCTGGTCTACATAGTGAGTTCCAGGACAGCTGGGGCTACAGGGAGACCCTGTCTCAAAAAGACCAAATATATATATATAGTATATGCAATTGTTTATAATACAGAATACTTTATAATTGACTGTCTCGTGCCTATGATTCCAGCATTCAGGAACCTGAGGTAAAAGGATTACTCTGAGTTTGAGGCTAGCCAACACTATGTATAAGCTACATAAAAAGAAGACTGAGTTACTGGTTTATGTTTTTACCATTGTTATTTTAATTTTTTGGAATGCCAGGCATAATTATGCATGCATGTAAACCATTGAGTGCAAGGGTATTTTGAGGTCTAGGCTAGCCTAGGCTAAATATGAGTCTCAAAAAAATGTTTAAGGGCTGGAGATTTAGCTCAGTGTTTAAAGTGCTTGTCTGGCATATGGGAAGCCCTAGGTTCAGTTCTCAGTACTGGGGTGTAAAAAAAAAACAGTATGATATTTTACACATTGTAGCGTTATACAAGCAGCAGTCTCGTGCACCTCAGTTTTGCTGAGTCTCTTGATAACATCATTTTCTATTATGCAGGATATAATCTCTGTTCTGTTGTTCTTCATAGCCTTAGAAGCAATAGGCTAATATAGGGATGTGTATTCTAAGTTGGTAAACTAAACTCTGTAATGTTCACATGACAAAAATCTAACAATGCATTTCTAAGAACATATCTCCGTTTTTAAATGATGCATGATTATTTATATTCTTATTTAAACTCACATAAATGTATTAGACCTAACAGAAATTAAAAAGGCATTTTACTCTTTTCCTCTATGTAGCAATTAAGTTTGCTTTATAAGACATAAAATTCTATTTGTCAAGGACTTAATTATCCCCCCTCTGAATAGTTTTTCTTTTATTTTTATTGTTTGTTAAGAAAAGTACTTTATTTTAAGCAAAATCATGTAATACCATCTTTGGTCCCTTAGGATTATTTGTATGGGCAAACTACTACTTACCTGACATATAATGACTTCATAAACAAGGAACTTATCCTGTTCTCAAATTCTGATAATGAAAGATCTATCCCATCTATGGTAGATGGTAAGTTACAAGATTTTAGTCTGCTTTTAATCATAAAATGGTGGTTTATACCCAGAAATGGTTAAATTGAAAATGCTAATGATTTCCCGTCTTTCATTTTAAAGGTTTGAAACCAGGTCAGAGAAAGGTTTTATTTACTTGTTTCAAACGGAATGACAAGCGAGAAGTGAAGGTTGCCCAGTTAGCTGGGTCAGTGGCAGAAATGTCCTCTTATCACCATGGTGAGGTAAGCCCAAAATCTTTAATATTGCCAGAGAGCATGATAGCAGAAATAATTGAAAGGGGGGCTGGAGAGATGGCTCAGCAGTTAAGAGCACTGCCTGCTCTTGCAGAGGACCTGGGTATAATTCCCAGCACCCACATGGTGGCTAATAACTGTAACTCCAGTTCCAGAGGATCTGACACCTCTGCAGGCATTATATGGCACAGGTACACTTACATAACTACAGACAGTACACTCATACATGTAAAATAAAAATATTTTTATTTTATTTTTTGGTCTTTTTGAGACAGGGTCTCCCTGTAGCCCCAACTGGCCTGGAACTCTTCATAGACCAAGCTGGCCTTGAACTCATAGAGATCCCTGCTTCTGCCTCCCAAGCGCTGGGACTAAAGGTGTGTACCACCACACCTGGCAAAAATAGTATTTTTTAAAAAAGAAATAATTGGCCAGGTGTGGTGGCACACACCTTTAATCCCAGCACTTGGGAGGCAGAGGCAGGCAGATCTTTGTGAGTTTGAGGCCAGCCTGGTCTACATAGTGAGTTCCAGGACAGCTGGGGCTACAAGGATACCCTGTCTCAAAAAAATACAAAAAAAAGAAATAACTGAAAACTTATTCTCCATTTTGTGCAAGTATAAGCTGCTATATCCATAATAAAGAACAATTTGGTAAAGTCTGTCAGACTGTAAAATATGATTGCCTTTTGACCTAATAGTTCTATTTCTAGAAATAACATTCCTATTAGTATACTCAGAAGTCTGCAAGATTCTGTATTCATAGATATTTAGTGATAAACACTAAATCTATTTTATAATAAACAAATTTTAGACATCCAGAATGGTCACTTATTGTCTCAAGTTATGTCTCATGTGTGTCTGCACTTTGTATACTAACACCAAATGAAGAAGGTCTGTTGTCTATCACACACCCCAAAAAATGTCTAAAGGGATACAACCAAATTATATTAAACATGGCAATTAGAAAGGGCAACTTTAACTTTTTATGTGTGAATTGTTTGACCTTATAATAATGTATATTCTTTTTTCATTTTAATTAAGTTAGATTACCCAGAAATTTGAAAGCAATGGTTATCTTATTGTTTAAAATTATAGGGCATGGTGGTGCATGCCTTTAATCCCAGTACTTGGGAGGCAGAGGCAGGCGAATCTCTGTGAAATCGAGCATAGCCTGGTCTACATAGCAAGTTCTAGGCCAGCTGGGGCTGCAGAGAGACCCTGTCTCAAAAAGACCAAAAGTAAAAAAAAAAAATCATAGAAAGGGAATCTGTTGATAATTCACCCAATATACATTGATTGAAATGTTTACCTTGTACCAGGTATGTAAGGATAAATATAGTATGTTCCCTGCCTTCAAGGTATAGTTGCAGTTTATCCAAGGGCCCAACATACAACACTATAGAATATGGCAATATGTGCTAGATTAGAAATGAACAAAGTTCAACTGTAGATGTTTTCAGTGGTTAGGCCTTTGGCTAGTATATACAAAGTTTGACTCCATAGGACCAAAAAGGGTGGGCGTGGGGAAAATGTTGTAACACAAAGGTATAAAAGTAGAAATATTTAATATTGCTGATTTTAAGTATAGGCACTATTCCTTCACACTTGAGTAGTGCTTAATAGGTAGGTAGAAAGTATTAGACAATAAAAGCTTTGAACTTAAAAGACCAAGAAGTCTTATGTTTGGGTCCCACTTCTGTTTATCTAGGAAAGATCACTATAGAAATTGATACCTCACAAAACTTTACAAAATTATTGTATAGCTTACTCAACTTACATATATACATATAATTTAAAATCTTTGGATCAGATTGATAATTCTTTTTCTTCCCTAGATGTCACTAATGATGACCATTATCAGTTTGGCTCAGAATTTTGTGGGTAGCAATAATTTGAACCTCTTGCAGCCCATTGGCCAGTTTGGTACCAGGCTGCATGGTGGCAAGGATTCTGCTAGTCCTCGATACATCTTTACAATGCTCAGGTAAGTTTGCTTTCAATTTCTGGTGACTTGACACTTCCAGTTTTGAAGCATTATGAAAACAAAATATAAAATATTTAATGTTATAGTCAGTTTCCCACCTCTAAGTGCTGGTCTATCCAAGGGATGGCCCTTTCTACTATCTATATCCCTTTCTCAAATAATCTCAGTTCTGAACTCTGAATTTTTATGTTTGACCAATCTTTCACCACTTTTCACTATGATATAAGTGATACAACTCCAGCCAGGCATGGTGGCACAAGGCCTGTAATGCCAGCACTTAGGAAGCAGAAGTGGTTTAAGACCAGTCTGGGCTTACTTGGGAAGCAGAGTCAAGTGGATCTCTGAGTTTGAGGCCAGCCTGGTCTACACAGCGAGTTCCAGGCCAGCTGGGGCTTACAGGGAAACCCTGTCTCAAAAAGAAAAAAAAACACAAAAAAATAGAACAACACTCTTATTTCTGAAAAACATCTTCAAAATCAAAACCATGCTTAGTAAAGTGCTTGCCTTGCCATACAAGCATATAGACTTGAGTTCAAGTCCCAGAACATACTTTTTTTAAAAAAAAATGTTGGACTACGCACAACATGGGTACACTTTACCTACATGCAGGCAATACACGCATACACATAAAAAATAAATAATTTTAAAAAAAAAAGAAACATCTTAAAAAAATAAAAGACTAGAGAGATGGCTCAGCAATTAAGAACACTGGCTGCTCTTGCAGAGGACCAGGGTTCGGTTCCCAGCACTCACATGGTGGCTAACAATTGTCTGTAGCTCTAGTTCCAGGGGATCTGACTGACCTCTGAACTGTGAACATTGCATGACAGGTAATATACTCATACACATAAAAATAATAAAAACAATTTTTTTAAAGTCTGGGGGCTGGAGAAATGGCTCAGCAGTTAAGAACAGCGGTTGTTCTTGCAGAAGACCCGGGTTCAAATCCCAGCACCCATATGGCAGCTAACAGTTGTCTGTAACTCCAGTCCCAGGGTATCTGACAGCCTCTTCTGACCTCTGTGGGCATTGCACAACACAGGTGCACTTACCTACATGCAGGCCGTACATGCATACACATAAAATAAAAGTAATAAAATTTTTAAAAAAGAATTAAAGTCAGAGGGCCAGGGAGATGCACCTGCCACTAAACCTGATGGACGGCTGAGTTCAACCTCCAGGACCCACATAGTAGAAGTGGACAACACTCTGCAAGCTGTCCTCTGACCTCCACATGAGTCATCCTGCACGCGCACACACACACACAGCACACAACACACAAATGCAAATAAATGGAATTTTAAAAAGAAGTGTAATGGTACACATTTGTGATCCCAGAGCTGGAAAGGGGGACAGGCAGATTTCTGGGGGTGCTAACCAGCCAGCCTAGCCTAATCGCGAGCCCCAGATAAGTAAGAGATACTGTCTCAAAAAAATGAAGATGGTGAATAGCACCAAAGGAATCATACTCAAGGTTGTCTTCTGGCCTCCACATGCACATGTGTGTACTCATGTTCACTACACACAAAAAAGAAAAGACAATTTTTTAAAAATTAAAAAAAAAAATCTTTAGTTTTGTCTAAAAGACGCAATGCCATCTTTCTAATTATTCAAGCTTAAAGTTTTGGAAGTTATCCTTACTCCTTTTCTTGACACTTCATCCAACTCAGCAAAATCTAAATACTCTGCATTGGAAAAATGACAAGCCATTCATCTCATTGTACCTTTTCTCAGCACCAACTCGTTTGTTGTTGTTTTAAACAGGGCCTCCCTGTAGCCCCAGCTGGCCTGGTACTCACTATGTAGACCAGGCTGGCCTGGAACTCACAGAGATCCACCTGCCTCTGCCTTCCATATGCTGGGATTAAAGGCCTTTACCACCACACCCAGCTTGCTCAAATGTAATCTTATCAGAAAGGGATTGCTTAATTTTTCTTGGCACCCTTGTTTATTTTTGGAGACAGGGTCTCAATACACAGCCTTCGCTGGTCTGAAACTCCCTTTGTAGACCATAACTAGCCTCAAACTCAGAGATCCACCCACCTCTGCCTACTTACTTTAATTTTTTAAGAAATGAGATCTTAACTGGGCATAGTGGCATAACCTTTAATCCCAATATTCAGGAGGCAGAGCCAGGTAGAATTCCAAGTCAGTCTGGTCTACATATCAAGTTCCAGACCAGCCAGGGTTACATAATTGAGACTCTGTCTCAGAGAGAGAGAGAGAGAGAGAGGAAATCTTGGACTGGAGAGATGGCTGAGTGGGTAAATGCCAAGCATGAAGACCTGAGTTTGAATCCCCAGAACCCATGTAAAGCTGGGTGCATAGCACTTAGTATAACCCCAATGCTCCTACTGCAAGATGGGAGGTTGAAATAGGAGAATCCCTGGAAGCGGGGATAGGGGAGGTAAGAGTTCATGTCCTCAAGTGCCTGGCACATAGAAAACACTCAGTGAATAATGTTACATGTATATTAGTTAGCAAACAAAGCCAAGGAAATTTTCATTTCCTTGGTATGAGATAATACGTCTGTCTTATAAAAGCATTAAAGCCACTGTTTTCACAAGTAACATTTTTTGTTTTTCCCTTAGCCCTTTGACTAGGTTGTTATTTCCACTGAAAGACGATCACACATTGAAGTTTTTATATGATGATAATCAACGTGTTGAGCCTGAATGGTACATTCCTATTATACCCATGGTGCTGATAAATGGTGCTGAAGGAATCGGAACTGGGTGGTCTTGCAAAATCCCCAACTTTGACATTCGTGAAGTTGTAAATAATATCAGGCGTTTGATGGATGGAGAAGAACCTTTGCCAATGGTAACTAGCCTGTGTTAGGAACTTCCTTTTTCCTCAGATTTTATTTGAGTAGACCTTATGATTAAAGAGTATACAAATATAAAATTTATTTCATACTTCTGGGCATGGTAGCGCATGCCTTTAGTCCCAGCACTTGGGAGGCAGAGGCCAGTGGATCTCTGTGCATTCAAGGCCAGCCTGGTCTACATAGTGAGTTCCAGGCCAGCTGGGGCTGCAGGGAGACCCTGTCTCCAAAAGATTTTAAAAAAAAAAGAAAAATTTTATTTCACACTTTAGATTTATCGTTGAACACCTTTAATTTTTGGCTTTCTAGCATAACATTTAAAAAACTTTTTTTTTAATGTCAATATAGCTTCCAAGTTACAAGAACTTCAAGGGTACTATTGAAGAGCTAGCTTCAAATCAATATGTGATTAATGGTGAAGTAGCTATTCTGAATTCCACAACCATTGAAATCTCAGAGCTTCCCATCAGAGTGTGGACCCAGGTAAGTAAGTGGGTTTCGATTTTGTTTTGTTTTATTTTTCAATAAGAAAATAATTTTGTTGTTTATTAATACGTCTGTGTAAAACTTAAAACTTTTGGGTTTTTTTTTCCAAAAGAAACACCACCAAAATGGGATTAGCTCAGTCCATCCTTGCTGCAAACGCTCAATTTTGGTTTTATCAAGAGAAAGATATTATTGTCAACTATTCAAGAGACTGCTTACACAGAGGATTTTTATTTTTATTTTCTAGACATACAAAGAACAGGTTCTAGAACCCATGTTGAATGGCACTGAGAAGACACCCCCTCTTATAACAGACTATAGAGAATACCATACAGATACCACTGTGAAGTTTGTTGTGAAAATGACTGAAGAAAAACTGGCAGAGGCAGAGAGAGTTGGACTACACAAAGTCTTCAAACTCCAAACCAGTCTCACCTGCAACTCTATGGTGTGTCTTACTTTCTGTTAGATACATTTTTAATATTACTGGGCATGCTGGTGCACATTTATAATCACAGCATTGAGGACAATGAGACAGGATCACCATGAGTTCCAAGGCTAGGCTGGGCTATAGAGTGAGACCAACAAAAAAGATCAGTTTTAAAGGGTATCTTGGGCCAGGCTATTTTTATAAAACTCACCCAACTTACTTATTTCATCGTCTCTCTTTTCCAGGTGCTTTTTGACCATGTAGGCTGTTTAAAGAAATATGACACAGTGTTGGATATTCTAAGAGACTTCTTTGAACTCAGGCTTAAATATTATGGATTAAGAAAAGAATGGCTTCTAGGAATGCTTGGTGCGGAATCTGCTAAACTGAACAATCAGGCTCGTTTTATACTAGAGAAAATAGATGGCAAAATAATCATTGGTATGTAAACATCTATTGGGAACTTAAAGTTTGAGATAGCTTTTCCTAGATTGTTTTGTTTTGTTTATGGGGTTTTATTGGTATTGGGGATCAAATCCAGGGCCTTGTACATGTTGAGGATGTACTCTGTCACTGATCTATACCCTTAAATTGAGTGTATGAAAGGTGGTACTCCAAAACTATAATGCTAGTACTTTTTCTATCCCTCAAAGTATAATAAATTGACTGCAGCAGATCCTGAAAGAAAGGTATTACAAGAAAGGGAACCAGTGTTTCCTGCCACGCCATGATTAAGAGAACCTGTCTTTGGAGGCAGAGACAGGTAGAGCTCTGTGAGTTCAAGACCAGCCTGGTTTACATAGCGAGTTCTGGGCCAGCTGGGGCTACAGAGAGATCCTGTTTCAAAAAGACCTCCCCCTCCAAAAAAAAGAAAAAAAGGACCTATCTTTGGGCAGGTACTGCTAAAAACTTGCCCACTGAAATGGTGAAATTTAAAACCAGAGAACATAATTGAGTTACAGGCTCATCAGAAAATAAAAGTGTTGTTTTCCGTTCTTTGAAGTTATGATTAGATTAGAACTTCATACGTGATTGACCCTGGTAATTTACATTTGTCAGTGGTTTACAAAGATTTGTCCATGTACCAGGGTATAGAAATGTATGCAAAACAATGCCACTGCATTTCCAATTTTAACCTTTTGATTTAATATGGAAACAACTTATCCTTTTTTTTAAAGTCTTGCTCAAAACTTATCTTTGTTTATATTTTTTAATAGAAAATAAACCTAAAAAAGAATTAATTAAAGTTCTGATTCAGAGAGGATATGATTCAGATCCTGTGAAAGCCTGGAAAGAAGCTCAGCAAAAGGTAATTTCTTGGTTAAGTTCCATGTGTGTTTATTTATTAGCTTAAAATAACAAATTTATTCTCACATTTCTAGAGGTCATAAGTACAAAATCAAGAACCATTACTGTTTATATTTTATATTTCACATTTCCTATTCTGTTGAATTCATCCTTTAGGTTCCAGATGAAGAAGAAAATGAAGAGAGTGACAATGAAAAGAGCGACTCTGTGACGGACTCTGGACCGACCTTCAACTACCTTCTTGATATGCCTCTTTGGTATCTGACGAAGGAGAAGAAAGATGAACTGTGCAAACAGAGGAATGAAAAGGTGAATGGGATGGTACATGGCGGATATTCTGACAGTGAATTTAAAACTAAATTGTATGATGTATAAAAATATTTGTACACATTTACTAACTCAGTTTTCTGGTACTCTTATGAAGGAACAAGAGCTGGATACATTAAAGAGAAAGAGTCCATCCGACTTGTGGAAGGAGGACTTAGCTGCTTTCATTGAAGAACTAGAGGTATTTATTTTATAATGCCTATATAAAATTTTTTATTAAGAAATAATATATTCTCAGCCTGGTGTGGTGGCACACACCTTAATCCCAGCACTTGGGAGGTAGAGGCAAGCAGATCTCTGTGAGTTCAGGCCAGCTGGGGCTACAGGGAGACCCTGTCTCAAAAAGAACCACCCCTAAAAAAACAAGAAATAATGGTAAAGGTACTTGCTGTGCAAGCCCGGCAACCTGGCTGCAATCGCCAGAACCCACATAAGGGTGGAAGGAAAGAAGTAACTCCACAAAGTGGTCCTCTGACTTCCACATGTAGACTGGCAGGCCTGTCCACACATATACAAAGTAATTTTTTATTTTATGTGTATGAGTATATCACCTGCATGTAGGTAAGTACACCTGTGTTGTGCAGTGCCCACGGAGGTTAGAAGAGGGTGTCGGATCCCCTAGAACTGGAGTGATAAACAGTTGTTAGACACCATGTGAGTGCTGGGAATCGTGCCCAGGTCCTTTTTTTTAAATCACATCAAATAGGAAAGACATTATAACTAGAAAATAAAGACTGCTTGAATGGAAGACTAGCCCAGTCTTCTAAGTTAATTTATAAGGACAAACTTCACTTTAGGGTAGGCCACTCAGATAGTGTCCGAAGATCCTTGTTGCGTAAACCTTCTGAGTAACAGTTTTTCAGTATCATTTTAACATAAGAAAAAAATGTCTGATTAAGCAATATACAAACTTATATTACTGTACTTGAGTATAGATGTCCAATTCATTGTCATCAGTTGAAATAAATATACGTTAATAATGTAATTTTTATGTGTTTACAAGTATATGTACATATTTTATCCTTTATCACAGTTTCCTCTTTGTCATCAGAAAGGTTAAATGATAGGATTATGTAGGTAGAAACCCAATCTAATGCCTCCACACCTCAGTGTATACCTGCATTGCATCTTCACTGAGGTTGAGCACAAGTTGATCTAAAGTTGAACAAAGTTGAAATCTGTTGAACTGTTACCTTTTAGGTGTTAATATGCTTCTGTTTGCTTGTAAACTTGCTTGCATATTTCCCTTTTGTAGTCTATTGAAGCCAAGGAAAAACAAGATGAGCAAGTGGGACTTCCTGGAAAGGGGGGAAAAGCAAAGGGAAAGAAAGCACAAGCATCTGAAGTTCTGCCTTCTCCTCACGGAAAAAGGGTCATTCCCCAAGTGACCATGGAGATGAAAGCAGGTGCAGAAAAGAAAATTAAAAAGAAAATTAAGGTAATGCTTTGAAAACATTATACATAAAATACTTTAAGCGAAATTGTGCTTAAAATTTGAAGAAATTGTTCCAGAGAGATGGTTCAGGATGAAGGTGCCGCCACCAAGCATGTTGACCTGAGTAGTCCCTGGGACCTAGAAGGAAAAACAACTTCTACAAGTTGTCCTCTGACATCCACACACATGCTGTGACATGCATGTGTCCAGGCACATACATAAATAAATGTAATGAATGTTTTAATTAAGCAAATTATGTTATTGGACTTTACTATATCTAACTAGCTTTCTTTTTTCAAACACTTTTTTTAATGCTTAAGTATCTTGTAAAGGTCATACCTGTACCTTTAGATCTCATAGCCAAAACCCAAAGAAGAAATTTTTTTCATTGTGTGTATCTGTATATGTATGAGTATTTTGCTGTACATTGTTCCAAATATTAAGATGACAGAATCAGAATATTTAATCTTGCTGTTTTTGCTTTCTTACATGTTGCTATCTTTTAGAGTGAAAATATCGAGGGAACACCTAATGAGGATGGTCTGGAACTAGAAGGCCTCAAACAGAGATTAGGGAAGAAACAGAAAAGAGAACCAGGTATTATTCTAACATTTTAAGAAAATGGCATAAACTCAAGATTAAATAAGAGTTAAATATTGTTAGAGCCAGGCATGTGGCACATACCTTCTGTGAGTTCAAGGCCAGCCTGGTCTACATAGAAAGTTCCAGGCCAGCTGGGGCTACAGGGAGACCCTGTCTCAAAAAGACAAAAAAAAAAAAAAAAAAAAAGAGTTAAGTATTTATTGTAAAGGGGGGTTATGCCTGAATTATATTTGAACCTTTTATTGTCCTTGATAATTTATTATGAGACCGTTTTTGCAATGTATTTATTAATTTGGTAACTTGATTTATTAATTTGGTAACTTGAATTCTTTAGTTGTGATCAAGAAAGCATCCACCAATGTTATGAGATTTACTTTCTAACCAGCTGACCTGGAACTCCCTGTAGACCAGGCTGACCTCAGTGTCACAGAGATTGCTTGTCTGCCTCCTGAGTATTCCAACTAAAAGCATGCCTAGAGAGCAACATAATGCCTGGGCTATAGGAAACACTGAGTACATCAAACAGAACTAACAATTTTATAAACCATTTGATTATGACCTAGATATCTTTTTTAGCATCTTTATTGAGATACATACCAAATTCACTGATTTAAAATATGCCATTTAATGGTTTTAGAAGAGTCTATAACCCCAGAAGCTACCCATTAGTGGTCATTCTCTATGTCCAAAGCCCCTCCTCAGTAGGTAACCACTGAAAAATCTTTCCCTAGATTCACCTGTTCTAGGCATTTCACATGAATGGAATCATAATGTGGGGCCTCTTGGCTGGCTTCTTTAACTTAGCATGTTTCCAAAAATCATCTATGTAATGAGGTATATTCATATTTCATTATTTTTTTATTGCCAAATAGCATTTGAATAGCTAAAGCTTGAGTAGTCACTATTTGAAATGATTGGGGATTTGGAGATTTTGCTTAGTAGTATTGCACAAACCCAAGGCCCTAGGTTCAGTCCCCAGCATGACAGTGTGTAGCAGGGGTGGGGAGGTACTTAGAATTGGAAGTATTTCAAATTTGGGAATTTTTTGACATTCAAAATCTGAAACTGTTTATTTTTTACATTTTGTGTGTATGTGTGTGTGTCTCAACACACTTATGAAAGTCAACCGACAACGTTTGGGAGTCAATTCTCTGCTTCCACCATGTAGGACTCAGGGATTGAGCCCAGGTTCCCAAGCTTGGCAGCAGGTGCTGAGCCATCATGACAGCCCCAAATCTGAAACTTTTTGAGCCTTATGTTAGTGATAAAAATCCTTCAGATTTCCTTATTGCCAAGTATAGTGTATAAATCCTGCACTACATAGTGAGAATAAACAACAGGTTTTTTGAGGAAAATGGATAAAATTAAGCTCAATTAAGAAATATGAAATAGACAGACTGAAGCCTGATATGTGGTTACAGGCCTGTAATCCCAGTACTCAGGAGGTTCGAGCAGGATCATCAGTTTAAGGCTAGCCTGGGCAAGTATACTGAGAACCCTTACTGATAAAAACAGAAAAGATACAGGTGAACTGAAGTTCCCCTGACAAGAATATGAAAAAAAGAATTATAAACTAGTAAGAAGACTGCCTTATAATCTTTGTGAGAAAACGGGGAACATAAGAACAAGGGATGGCTCTAAGATGTTTAGTAAAGAATTACCAATACTTAATGATTTTAAAATTCCTGTCAGTTCAAGCAGCCCTCCAAGTTTAGTCCTAGCCTCTTTGCCCTTTGACCTGTCTCCCTTGTCTTGACTTTGGCTCTCCCAATAATCTCCTTGTATCTATATTTGCCTCTTTCTGATCTTCACACTGCAACCTGAAAAGGCTTTTTCAAAGTTAAGCACAATAGTGTTCATCTATAATCCCAGCACTTGGGAGGTAGAGGCAGGAAAGTCAAGGCTAGTCTCAACCACATAGTGTTCAAGGCCAGTCTAGGCTACATAAAACCCAGACTAAATAACAACAAAAATCTTTAAAATCCAAATATGATCATAATTGGTACTCCTAAGAAAGCTATCAACTCTCCCCTGACTTCTGATTTCTGGCCATAGTGGAATGTCAGTTTTCCAAGTGCACTGTTTCCTCCCAGGACTTTTGTACACACTATTAGTTAACTCTAACGAACCTTCAGATCTTAGCTCAAGCATCTATTTCCTAGGGAACTCTGATGTTTATATATTTAACATTACGACTATAATTATTTATGGAATTTATGAACAAACTCTACACTCTGTAGGAACAGGACATGTATCTGTTTCTACTCATGATGGAATCCTTAGCATTGATAGTCCCCAAGAAATATCTGAAGGATATGTAGATAATACATGAAGAAGCCTGAGTCTGAAAGTATACAAATGTGTTTCAAAACTTTTTTTTTTTTTTTTTTTTGTCTTTTTTTGAGATAGGGTCTCCTTGTAGTCCCAGCTGGACTGGAACTTGCTATGTAGACCAGGCTGGCCTTGAACTAACAAAGATTGCCTGCCTCTGTCTCCCAAGCGCTGGAATTAAAGGCATGCACCCACCTGGCTGTTTAATTTTTTTAAATGTGCTTAATGTCTACCTGCCTCCTAGGTACAAAGAAGCAAACTACATTGCCATTTAAGCCCATCAAAAAAGGGAAAAAGAGAAACCCCTGGTCTGATTCTGAATCGGATATGAGCAGTACTGAAAGTAATTTTGATGTCCCTCCACGAGAAACAGAGCCACGAAGAGCTGCAGGTAAGGAAACGCAGAGAACACGCTACGTGTGCTGCAGGCTTTGAGCAGCCCATAATGTCAGGGTACTGAAGCCCCACTCTTAGAGCAGCAAATTAAATTTTGAGAAAAATTGAAGCATCTTTTATGAGAATAAAATGAAGTTTATACATACTCGTGAAATGCTTTATCAGTGTTTAACTGTTTCTGCTCTGCTCTTTGATTCCTTATAAATGTGTGTTTTTAACAGCAAAAACCAAATTCACAATGGATTTGGATTCAGATGAAGATTTCTCAGATTTTGATGAAAAAAATGAAGATGAAGACTTTTTGCCATCTGATGCTAGTCCACCTAAAACCAAAACTCCCCCAAAGTAAGTATTTTTACCTAATAAATAATTTATCATGCTTATTTTTAATAGTAGGTAATATGTTTATTGGTCTTTGTTGTTTGACCACCTAGAATTGGTCCTCAAGATGTCTTTTTGGGTTTTTTTTCAGAAATACTAAAAAAGCACTAAAGCCACAGAAAAGTACTATGTCAGGTATGTATTTAAGTAAAATGATTAGGGGACTAGGGAGATAGCTCTGTCAGTAAGTGCTTAATAGGCAAGCATGATAACCTGTGTTTGAACTCAAAAGCATATACACAGAATCCTAGCACTGGAAGGGCTAAAACAGGAGGATCCCTGGGGCTTAGTGGCCAGCCAGCCAGTCAGCTTAGAAGATCAATGAGCTCCAAGTTCAGTGAGAGGCCTTGCCTCAAAAGATTGGAGAGCAATTGAGATAAACAACTGATACCCACCTCTGGCCTCCACATGCATATGCAAACAGAGATACCCACATAAACACATGCATGTAAAAATTAACAGACTGCCTTGTTAGAGCACTTAGATCCAGTTAGGTTCTAATAATGGCTACATTAGCCAAGCACTTCATTTTAAAATACACTTGAATTCCTGTTAGCATTCTACTGTTACTGGTCATTTAGTTTTGTTTTGCACTAATAGAGCCCACATTCAGTGTACTGAAAGTACACATAATGCTTGCCAAGTACTGCGTGATGACATTTTAAAAAATACTGGGGCTGGAGAGATGGCTCAGTGGTTAAGAGCGCTGACTGCTCTTGCAGAGGACCCAGGTTCAATTCCCAGCACCCACATGGTGGCTACGAACCATCCTTAATTCCAGTTCCAGGGGAATCCAAAGCCCTCTTCTGACCTCCTCGGCATTGCCTGACACAGGTGCGCTCACATACATGCAGGCAGTATACTCATACACAAAATAAAAGTAATAAATGAAATATTTTTTAAAATAATAAAATAAATACTGAGCTGGAGAGATGGCTCTGACCTTGCAGAAGACCTGGGTTCGAATCCCAGTACCCACATGGCAACTAACAACTGTCCGCAACTCCAGTTCCGGGGATCTGACAGCCTCTTCTGTCCTCTGCAGGCATTGCACAATACAGTGCACTTACCTACATGCAAGCAATACATGCATATACATAAAATAAAATATTTTTTATAAGAGAGCACTGTTGCCGGGAGTGGTGATGCACGCCTTTAATCCCAGCACTCCGGAGGCAGAGGTAGGGGGATCTCTGTGAGTTCAAGGCCAGCCTGGTCTACATAGTGAGTTCCAGGACAGCTGGGGCTACAGGGAGACCCTGTCTCAAAGACCCAAAAGAAAAGAGCACTGTTGCTCTGCCAGTGGACCCAAGTTCAATTCCCAGCAACTATATCAGGTGGCTGTCATTCTGGCCTCCACAGGTATCTGTACACACATATACACATAATTTAAAATCCTTAAAATAAGTAAATAATGGGACTAGAGATATGGCTCAGGAGTTAAGAACACTGGCTGTTCCTGTAGAAGACCCAGGTTTGAATCCCAGCACCCACATGGCAGCTAACAACTGTCCTTAACTCCAGTCCCAGGGGATCTGACAGCCTCTTCTGACCTCTGCAGCATTGCATGACATGGGTGTACTCACATACATGCAGACAATGCACACATACACATAAAATAAACATAATAAAATATATTTAAAAAAAAAAAAAAGTAAATAGCTTGTTAAGAATTCTGAATTTGGCTAAGCCGGGTGTGGTGACACACACCTTTAGTCCCAGCACTCGGAGGCAGAGGCAGGTGGATCTCTGAGTTCGAGGCCAGTCTGGTCTCCATAGCAAATTCAGGCCTGCTGTGGCTACAGGGAGACTGTCTCAAAAAGGAAAAAAATAAAAAAATTCAGAATTTGGGCCTGGAAAGATGGTTACGTAGTTAAAAGCACTGTCTGTTCTTGCAGAGGACCTGGGTTCAGTTCCCAACACTCACATGGCAACTGACTCCCACCTATAACTCCAGTTCCAGGGGATCCACTGCCCTCTCTGGCCTCCACAGGCATTGCACATATGGGTATACTTAGGTATATGTAGGCAAAGCACTCACACACATAAAACAAAAATAATTTTTTTAACTTCAAAATTAGAGCAAAGTTCTAAGAGTTATTTAAAATATTCAAGAAGGCACGCTAGGGCACACCTTTAATCCCAGCAGTCAGGAGGCAGAGGCAGATTTCTATTTTGATTGAGGCCAGCTTGGTCTACATAGCAAGTTCTAGGCTACAAGGAGAACCCGTTAGGACTGCATACCAGGGACAAAGCAGTAAACGGACTTATTGTTGCTTAATATGTACTATTTTCCTTTCTGAAGTAGTTGACCTGGAAACTGATGATATTAAGGACAGTGTACCGCCTTCTCCGAGCCCTCCTGTTGCCAACTTCCCAGTTGAAACTGAAGTTTTAAAACTACCTTCTAAAAAGAATGTGACAGTGAAGAAGACGGCAACAAAAAGTAAGCTGAGTCTGCTATGTTAGAGGGTCAATTATTAGATTAACTTTCGTAAGTCAATTTTTTTATTCTGCAAATTTCTATTAATACTAAACACTATCCAAATAGGAACAGTGTCTTTTAGATCCTTATTACCAAAAAAGATAATTAGGTTTAAGATCGCTATGTTTTTCAGATTCTAGGCATTATCTAGATCATTTCTTTGATAGGGAAAGGATTTATGAGCAGTTGGAAATACTCAGTGTAAGACCATTTAAAAATTAAGGCTGGTGGGGCTTCAGAGATGACTTACTGGTTAATAGCCTGTACTGCTCTTGCAGAGGAGGTCTAGGATTCAAGTTCGATTCCCAGCATCCATGTCAGGTAGCTAACAGCTGCTTGTAACTCCAGCTCCAGGAGGATTTGATTCCTCTGGCCTCCTCAGGCACCTGCACTTGTATGCACAGACACAGATACACATAATTAAAAATAGAAATTAAAAAATAAGGCTAGGGACTTAGCTCAGTTAGTAGAGTACCTTCCTGACATGTATGTAGCCCTGGATTCCATCTTCAGCACTGCATAAACCAGCTGTGGTGTACTTCTATAACCCCAGTACTGGAGAGGAAGAGGGGAAGAGTCTCTGGAGCTTGCTGGCCAGCCAGTCTAGCTTGATTGGTGAGCTGCAGGCAAGTGAGAGACCCTGTCTCAAAAAGTAAGGTGAAGAAGTAATTGAGGAAGATGTAAGGAAGTTTACAATAGGAAGTTTCCGCTAAGAGTGACTATGATAAATCCATGTGTTGATTACAGGTCAGTCTACCACCTCCACTGCTGGTACCAAAAAAAAAACTGCACCAAAAGGGACCAAATCAGACTCAGCCTTGTATTCTGGCAGCCTAGGAAAGCCTGAGCCTGCCAAAACCAAGATCCGTCGCAAAAGGAAGCCATCTACTTCTGATGACTCCGACTCTAATTTTGAGAAAATAATTTCTAAAGCTGCCACAAGCAAGGTATTAATCCCCATTTAATCCTTTTGCTCTAGATGTTTTGAAGTACGTTTGCTCTTCATTTTGCATATCTTTTAAGAAAATAATTTTAAACTATAACTCATTAGTTTTTTCCATATGCAATTTAGTTATAACAAAATTAAATATATCAGTCACCAGGACAGTTGCTTCGGACCTTTTTCTTAACAGTAGTAGAGAACGGAACACCCTGGATTGTAGTCTGGAACTATGCTATTGTGTTAACATCGTGCAAATTACTTGGGTTTTCTCTTTAGAAACCTAAGGGAGAGAGTGAAGCCTTCCATCTGGACGTGGATTCAGCTGTGGCTCCCCGGGCAAAATCTGGACGAGCAAAGAAACCTATTAAGTACCTGGAAGAGTCAGATGAAGACGATCTTTTTTAAAATGTGAGGTGATTATTTTAAGGAATGGTTTTACTGAGCCAGGTTGGTTTTACAGTTACTTGAAGTTCTTCCTCCCTCTCTGAATTTAGTTTGGGGAAGACATTTTTTACAAAGCTATCAAAGTGGATGGCGCCCTTGGCCGCCAGCTTCTTATACAACATACTGTCATCGCCATCTCCTGGGCACTGTTCTCTGCTTTGTCTATGTTTTGTCTGTTTTCTTTGGTCTTTAAAATCTAGTTTTTAAATTCTTCTGAATGCCAAAAAATCGTATGGTCACTTGAGCATAAGAGTTTACTGGCCATTTATTAAGCTAAAACAGGAACACTTCTAAAGGTGTCTCTCCGCCTCCTTTCCTAGTTTCACTAAATATGCACCAGCTTGGTCTGCCCTGTTTTCAGTTTTATAGGCAGTATGCCATCACGTAGAACTGGAGAGTTCTAGTACAACAATACTTTGCTCAGCCTTTTATGTGATGCGATTTTGGTCAAGCAATGTGAAATTGCTTATATCCTTTTGCATCTCATCAGAAGCTGAAGAAATCCACCTTGGCTGTATCTGTGTGACCTCACCACAGACAGCGTGATGAAGAAAATAAGGCCAGTTAGACTATGTCAACTCTTGACTTTCCTCGTGCTGCCTTAGGTAGAATCCACAAAACACCAAGTTTCTTGGGCGCATGGGATTGCAGGAAAAGAGGCAACATTGCTCAGATCTGAGATACTAGATGAACACCATGCTCAACTGTGAGGCATAGATCCATTTCGAGAAGTCTTCAGAATTTCAACGTAAGACCTTTCTGTATTGTTAATGTACGTTACTTGATGTTATCAATGTTTTTGTAAATATTTACTATGTTTTCATATGTAGCTTAATTCCAACAATTTTGTACTTTAATAAATGTTCTAAACATTGCAACCGATTCGTTCCCTGTATTTTTAAAAAAGCACATCATCACATCCCCTTCTGTGCTCAAAATATAGCCTCTTCACTTCCTCTGCAGCATTGTTAACAGTCATATTCTCCAAGACTGACAGCCTTTGTCCCTGGGAAGAGACCCAAGAGATAAGTACTGTGACCTGATTAAGTCCAGTAAGGTTCCCCCCGCCCCCAGGATTTTATACATAGGTACTAAATTCTTCATGTCCTATACAGTGAGTTATTTATTTTTCAAATTTTATTTATTTTATTTTATGTGTATGCATATATTACCTGCATGTATATAAGTGCACCTGTGTCATGCAATGCTCAGGGAGGAGAGAAGAGGCTGTCGGATCCCCTGGAACTGGAGTAATGGACAGTTGTTAGCGGCCATGTGGGTGCTGGGATTCAGAACCAGGTCTTCTGCAAGAACAGCCAGTGTTTTTAACTGCTGAGCCATCTCTCCAGCCCCCCATGTTAGTTTTTTAAATGCGTGTATCAAAACTGGGCATCGTGGTACAACACCTTTAATCCCAGCACTTGGGAGACAGAGGCAGGTTGGATCTCTGAGTTCAAGACCAGCCTGGTCTACATAGCGAGTTCCAGGTTAGCTGGAGCTACAGGGAGACCCTGTCTCAAAAAGGCCAAAAAATAAGAAAAATACATATATTAGAGCTGGAGGTGGAGCTCTTTTGGTAGAGTGTTTGCCCAGCATGCATGAATTCCTCAGTTTAATCCCTACCACCACATAAATAAAAACAAGGGGACTGGAAAGATGGCTCAGTGGTTAAGAGCACATATTGTTCTTCCTGAGGACCTGAGTTTCGTTCCCAGAACGTGTCAGGAGCTCCCACGCCTATAACTCCAGCTCCATGGGATCTTATGCTTTCTTCTGGCCTCTAAGGGCGCTTTACTCATGTGCACAAACCCACGCACAGTTAAAAATAATAAATGTGCCAGGCGTGGTAGCACATGCCTTTAATCCCAGCACTTGGGAGGCAGAGGCAGGTGGATCTTTTTGAGTTCAAGGCCAGCCAGCCGGGTCTACATGTGAGTTCCAGGACAGCTGTGGGTTCCAGGACAGCTGGGGCTACAAGGAGACCCTGTCTCAAAAAGACCAAATAATAATAAATATTAGAAATCATGTAACTTAAAAAATGATTTACCATTTTAACAATCCACATGGCTGCTAACAACTGTAACTCCAGTTCCAGGGGAATCTAATACCCCATCTGGCCTCCTCCACCATTGCATGACATGGGTGTACTTACATATCTGTAGGCAATACACTCATACACATAAAATAAAATTTCTTTTTAAAAAAGCTGAAAAAAAAAATTAGTTCCAGATGAAAATCAAATACATAATACAGGAAGACCAAGGGGTTGGGTTAGACCAAGGCCAATACCCTGATTATGATACAGTTTTTGTTAAAAAGCTCAAAACTGCAAAATAGGGGAATGGGCAAAATTAACAAGGATCATCGATCATTTTTTGTGCTTACAGTACAAGGGATTGAACATGGCCTTGCACCAATACCAGGAAAGTGCTGGACCTCTGAGCCACACCCTAGTCCTAACCATTCCTTAACATTGCATGTGAATCTGTTACCTCAAAGCCACACTCAAATATATTTACCTAGGTGTCTATAATAAAATGGAAAGTTATCAAAATGCTCAACAGAGGGCATGATAAAACAGCTGGATTGAACATAGTAAATCTAGAATGCCAGCTAAGAATGATCATGTGCTTGTGTTGACATGCAAAGTGGTCCACGACATGGCTGCGTGAAAGGCTGCAGTCAAGTATTTGTTTACAAAATAAGTGAAGAAAAGCATGTAAATCCTCTAAAAAATATTTCACAAAAAGTGTGTTCCTGATTGGTAAAATTCCTAACCGAAAGAAAAGTTAATAAATTGCCTATTCACTATTCCTGAAATTTTTTTTAAAACCTACTACTAATAAACTTGGTGTCTACAGACATTTAGCTCCTTTCTAGAATTTCCTTTTTTCCTAGACATTTGAAACATTGCTTATACATGTAGAATGCCCTGGCTACCTCTGGAACTGCTGCTGGCCTCATCCGCCTCTGAGATTACCGAGGCCACTCCCGGATCACCCACTCTGGAAACGCAGGGAGAACTGTTTCAGGTAGCCTGTCCTGCTTGAGTGTCTCCCAGAAAACGGAACATGTATGTAGATTTCTGCAGCTGCATCCACTTTCTCATGTCCTAAGCCCCTGTATGACCTCTAACTCCATATTCGCGGTACAATGGCCTTCAATTCCGTAAGAAGGCTGCTGTCACTCACTGCAGTGAAAAACAGTCTTGTGCTGCTGAAGGTCTGGTACTGGCCTATCTTCCCAACCCTGCTTTCCTTCCCAATCCCTAAAACCTACTGTTTTGGGGCCTGTCCCTACAGCCCAAGCCCTCTAGACCCAACTCCTGAAGGTCACTGATGACTCCAGTTCTGGCAACTGACCAGCCAGCAGCCTAGCTGAGTCTTTTAAGCCCACCAGACAGGTACACCCACCCATCCATCACTCTCAAGAGCCTCCTACTTCTACTGTCCTTACCCAATCCTGGAACACAACCTACTGGGAGCACAGGTATCCACCCACCCTACTTTTGCACTAAATGACCACCCATCATGACCAGGGACCCCTGAGGTCCTAGTGGCTTGACTGTCTACGTAGGGGGGCAAGCCTTATCTAGAGGTTTTATTGGCTTCCGTGTCAACCCAGGTTGGACTCAGGAGAAGGACAAGACAATCTTTTACTTCCTTCCTCTCCCTGCTTCCCTCCTCCTCAGACTTTGCCAGACCTCCAGACAAGAGGCCACTCCTCTCCATTTACCTCTGCATTGAGTCCACCAGGCCGAGATAAGGTAATTCTTGGGCCTTCTTGGAGGCACTCCATCAGGTCCTGGGAACTGAGAGTTCCCCAGGTGCTGAGATTAAGGTGGCTCAGAAGCTCCAGGAGCTTCCAACTGGGTCGTTGTCTTTTGAGCTTCCTGGAGTCCAAGAGGCAAGGGATGCCCACTCCTAGACCCAAGGACGTTTGTGGTCAATCCCTAACCCTGAGGAGCACCTTGAGTGACAGGATCTGATGATTCTTACCTTGTTCCTGAGCCCATGTCAGTTCCAAAGAACACGCCCTTAGCCTGTCAAAGGTCTCATCTAAAAAAAAACATTTGGGAAACCTCAGACTGGCCACACTTGGTTTTCCATACAAATCTGACCACAATACACATTGGATAAATGGCCACCACTGCCACAATTTGAAACTTTCAAGTTTGATAATTTAATTGATCTAAATAACTTTACCAAACAAAATAGAGATGGGTCCGGGGTTCCCTATATTCAAGACTTCTTCACCCTCAGGGCTAGCCTCTGTAAACCTTGCCGTACTTATCAAATTCTTCCAGGTTAACCAAATCCTTTGCCTGTTCTCCTTTACCTGCCTTAGCTTCTCGGTCACACAAACACATGCCCCGGCCTTTCTCTTTGTTCCTCTGGGTAAATTTAAATTCCTGTAACTTCTCTCTGCAAATTCCTAGGGCGGGTGGCTCCATCCCCAGCTGGCCAATCACTTTTCTCTGCCCTGCACAGATCTGAGGCTTCCCACTTAAAGCAGTTCTGCCTCCTGGCGACTGTCAAGGGTTTTTCTGTTTGTTCCTCTTGCTTCTCTCTACGGCTTTTGTTGGGCCCTTCCGCTGTCTGCAGGTCACTACTAGCAGGTCTTCTCTACTGCTCCACCCAAAACCTGCTCCTTAGGCCAGCTGTAGCTCACAGAAGCTACAACAAATCTTAAAACATAAGAACAATGCTATTTTAGTCCCTGGACTATGGACACTTAGTCATGTGTCTGCCCTCTTCCAATTCTTTGTTTCATTTTTATCTTACAGTTATAAGTCAAGAAACATTTAAAAAATATTTTATTTTTATTTTATGTGTATGAGTGTATTGCCTGCATGTATGTGAGTGTACCCATGTCGTGCAATGCTGCAGAGGTCAGAAGAGGGCTTCAGATTCTCCTGGAACTGAAATTAAGGATGGTTCATAGCCACCATGTGGGTGCTGAGAACCAAACCCGGGTCCTCTGCAAGAGCAGTCAGTGCTCTTAACCGCTGAGCCGTCTCTCCAGCCCCCAAGAAACATTTTTATAGGTTAATTAGGTTAAATAGACCCTCTAAAAATGGCCCAGGATAATTTGACCCTAAAGCCTGCAACATTCCAAACTCTTCCATCATGAAAATTCTAGTCATTTAGCCTTAAAGTTACAACTTCTTTCAAAAACTGTTTACATCTCCTTTTATTTTGCATTGCATCCTCTTATTAATCCATTCTACTGGTAAAAATTCCCACAAAACTTTTATTTATGTTTCATTTCTGACACTTTAGATTGTTTTCAGTATTTCTTACTTCCTCTGTTTCATTTCACTAAGTGATTTATTGCCTTTAAAAAAAAACTTTTAAGTTTTTACACTGTTTTAACTTGTTTCTAAAATCATTTACTGGTTTTAGAATATTTTATAGCCAGGCATGGTGGTGCACGCCTTTAATCCCAGCACTCAGGAGGCAGAGGCAGGTGGATCTCTGTGAGTTCAAGGCCAGCCTGGTCTACATAGTGAGTTCCAGGACAGCTGGGGCTACAGGGAGA